AGAGAGAGAGAGAGAGCAGAGCAGATTACGATTGATCGAGAAGAAAAGAAACAGGAGAGAAAAGAGAAGAAATGATTCGAAAAAGGACAATGAGTCTGAATTTGTACGGAGTAATGAACGCGTGATTCGTATGAAATTTCCAAAAAATAGCGTCGCGCAGCGGATTAGTATACACGAAGTGTACGAACGAACGGAAGCTTTTGGCGAAGAAAATTAAAAAACAAGTATAAAAAAAAAAGAGAAAAACAGTATGTGAAAAGAAGAGCTAATATATATCTCTACGAGAGAAATAAACACACACACGCACACCCTCTAGTCTACAGCCAATGACACGATCCAAAATTAGAGAGAAAAATGTAAAAAAAAAAAAAAAAAAAGGAAGAAGGAAAGAAGAAACTATCCGAAATTTCGCTTTTGACTCACCTGTTCTTTCAACATAACCGCCTGCTGCCGCTTCAGCTCTCGTTCCTGGGAAATCACAGAGAAAGCTCGTGGTCATTTCTCTCTTTCTATACTTTTTTTTTACATATATATACATATACAAGTACATGAACGTTCTTCGAAAGGGGAAAGAGCTCTACCAGAAGAACAAAAAGAAAAAAGAAGAAGGAAAAACGAAACACGGTGAGGTGTATACGGGCCGTTGCGTTGTTCACCGGGGAAACAGGGGGGAAAATTAGCGCGCGAACGAATCCGTCGGAGGAGAACACAACCAGGGGGGCGATCGTTTAACAAACAAACAGCGAGAAGGAGAAAAAAAAAACAGAAGGAAACACTTAACGCGCGGGTTGATTAAATTCAACGACAAATGAAATTCTACTTTGAAACGTCGTTTAACACCGCGCCTTCGTTTGTACTACACCGCTATCGCTCGCAAGTATTCTCGCTCCGTTACTCTTCTTCTTTTTTCTTCGTTGATTTTGCTTAAAATGTGCGAACGAAAATTTTCGCCGTGACAATTTTTGCGGAACGTCAAAGGTAGGCGCGTCGGAACCCTTTGAAATTGTTCGAGAATAAAATTGCCGGAAATAGAAGAACATTCGGAGGGAAGAACGAGCGACGGAGTATATTTACGAGCGAAGTTGTCGTTGCAAAATGCACTTTCTTCGGAAATAGGGTGGCGAGAGACTTGAAGCTTTACGATTTACAACTCTGTACTCTACTGACAAAATTGTGGAATAAAATAATCAGCTGGTACAGCGAGCGTGTATCGTTAAACAACGCGGAACTTCAGACTCGTGAACGAAGTTGGTAGAGTGTCTCTGGGTGGATTTTTTTTATTTTAACAACGAACGAGAAGAGTGGAGGAAAAGTGTGGCGGGAGTGAAAAATTGTAAAAACGGAGTCGTAGTACGGAAGGGAAACCAGGCTACGTGTAACAACGATTTTAGGATTACCTGTTGCTTCCGTTGTTGCTCTTCCAGTCGTATCTTCTCCACCTCTTCCTGCCGTTTTTTCCGAGCCTGCGCACATGCCATATACACACGTCACTCGCATCCGTCATTATTTTCGATGGATCAAGCTTACACAATGATTTCTCTTTTTTTTTTTTTTTTTTTTTTTCTTTCCACTTAACGATATACCGCGGGGGAGAGCCTCGCAATTTCGAACTTACAGATCTCTATTTTTTCTCTTTTTCCTTTTCTTTTTTTTTCGAACAAACGCGATTACCGGTTTTTCATCGACGCGAATTTCAACTGCTGATTTTGTGAAGATGAAACTGTCAGGTACGTGGTGGATCGATTCGTTGAATTGTTCTGTGTGAAATATAGGTCGAAAGAATTGTGATTTATTCACAAGGAGCAATTTCTAATTTCAGTTTTTAGAAGAATAATTCAAGGAATTGAATGTTATATACAGCTTTAAGTTCACTTAATCAGCACGATGTTGTGCGCAAACTAATCCAAGGAGATCTATTGGACAGACCGGGAATAAAAATGAAAAAAAGAGAAAAAAAAATTTGTACATGGAAGGTTCAAGTCGCATCGACCTTATTTGCCTCTGGAACCAAACACTTTGTTTCTCTTCTCGATATACCCGACGCGCGGAATGTGTGGACCTCCGTGAAAATTCTCTTCTCAAACTATCCTCTCGATGCCCGTAATCCCATCTGAATAGACGAGATCCCGATTTCCTCTTATTTTCACGCGGAAAATCCCGGTTTTCTTCGTGTTGCTCGTGATTTCGTATTGCTAATACACACATACACTACCGGGTGTACCAAGCGGACGCGTCTACGGTGACAGGGATAAGCACTAATCTAAATAGCGTGGCTGAAACAGTCTAATTTCTCCAATCGACGCTTTTCACACGACGTTCCACTATTTCTGCGAACCGATTCGTAAAATTAACATCGCGAAACGCGGACTCGACCGATTTCTTCTCGAATTTTCTCTACGAATTTCAATTATAATCACCGTGTGTGCATTCCCCCGTTCAACGAGACGAAGAATCTTAAATCAAAGAGACGTACAAACCGCGTGAATCTAACCGAAAATTTCACGAAGAGAACAAGAGAAGTGTACCGCGGTTAACGGTGTGTCGACGGAAGTCACGTTGACTCGTGACGGAAGTCCCCTCCACCAGGTGGTCCAAAACACGAAGAAACGAAAGGAAGAGACAAAAATGATAATCACCGGGCAAAAGTCGTATAATACGCATGCTGTTCCGTGGAAAAAACCTCGTGATCGAAAAAACGTGATAATATACAGAGATAACGTTGAAAATGAGAGAGAAAAAAATTGGAAAAAAATGTACAGAAGAGAGAGAGAGAGAGAGAATAGCAGCCAAGCAGAGAAGTGGAACAAACCCCGACCGGGTGTTCCGCGTTCGTGGAGAACCAACGTGACCGCACGAGGATCTCAGAACGGAACGGAAAAAGTGAAAACCCGGGAGTTTCGTCGAACGAAACCAAAAGCTTCTCACCAACTACCAGAAAGAAAGACAGAGAGAGAGAGAGAGAGAGAGAGAGAGAGAGTGTATATTAAAACCACCACCATATTTTGTACAAGTAAAAAAGACGAGAGACAAAAGAGAGGTAATGGGAAAAAAGTCGAATAGTATTACAGTGTTAAAAAAGAGAGAGTAGTGTTAGATTTAAAAAAGTTTCTCGAAAGCGATCAGAGAATAGAATAGAGAAACAGTGGATAGAGTAAAAGTAGTGTGAGAGAGAGAGAGAGAGAGAGAGGAGACTTTTTTCAAAAAATAGGAATAGAGCGCATCATGCAGGAGCCAAGCAAATATACTCGCCTTATGTATTATGCACATATTATGTGATATAATATAATCATAATAGTAACGATAATATCGTTGTGTTGTGTTAATCGCTGAAAGCTTGGGTTATGTATAACGATAGAAAAAAGTACAGTGTCTTTTGTTAATTAGGACGTGTACGTATTCGTGATAGAGGCTTGTTTAATTACAGAGAGTCTTTTGATAGGCTGTGATTTGTAGTGGCATTAAATACATAATAATAATAATAACAATAATAATAATCGTGGTGATAATAAGAGTAATGGTAACAGTAATAATAGAGAGCAATAATTATAAACAGAGCGTACGATTAATCGAGTAGATAATAATTACATGTTCCACGTGACAGCTTATTTACGGCTTTATTAATAAGAAACAGAAAGAGAGAAAGAGAGAGAGAGAGAGAAGAAGGAAGAGAGAAAGAAAGATAGAAAGAGTAAAGAGAGAATAACGAAATGGAAAAGAAAGAAAATAATTGAGAAGAAACGAGGTAATAATAAAAAAAATATACATAGTGTGTAGCAAAAGAGGAGAAAAGAAAGCGGCTTGATTTGCACGGGCAGCGGTACTCGATAATCGGGTAGAACACGTAAAAATTCGAAAAAAATATGGCATGCTGGATAATCATGTAGCTAGCTGTTATTATTTTTGTATATAGTGACAGGAGAAGCTAGGCACAGGATAGCATTGCGACAGTCGGTATTACAAATGTTCTTTTTTTTTTTTTGTTTTGTTTTTTAATTTGTCGTCGTTTATATAGATCCGCAGCAGAAATTGTCGCACATTCAGTATCGTGTAATTGAGAAATGATGTTCCATATAGCGCGTCTTTTTCTCTACGCAATACAGAGGCGCGCCGTCGATCGTGATCACAAATCTCGAGGATCGAACCTTTCGAACTTGCATCTTCGATTCAAGAATCGACAGAGAAGTAGAAAAAAGAAAAAGAGTTCGACAACTCGCACGCATCCCATTGGCAAAATTTCATGTTCCAATTTGAGCACCGTTTTTCGACAATTCACGCGACGAAATTTCAACCCCGGCCGTTATTCGCAGAGCGCTTTCAAAATGTAATCGGTGCGAATTTAAATCGCTTTACCCGAGGTCCGTTTAAATATTTAAAAATCGGTAATTCTGTTACCTCTTCTCTCCTCGTTTTTTTAAATAATTTCAAACGCATCCTCCCTTGTGCAAATATTTTCGCCGATCAAGAGGCCGCCTCATTTTTACACAGCGTACAGGATGATTCACGCGAACTGGTCCCGTTATTGAAAATCGTATTTTTCACCTGTTCGAATCACCTGAAATATTTGCACTCGGAACTTCGCCAATCGTCTCGTTTTTGTTCGAACGTTAAACAGATATCTGTCCCGATTAAATATCGGGTACTTCTCGAATTCCGACGAATACAACACATGTGAAATAATTTTCACAAACTTTTTCCGTTAATTCAATCCTTCTTTTCACGAATCCCACTGGGATCTCTCACTTCCAAAAAATCGTTACGCGTGAATCACGCCGTACGCACACCTCGCCAACAGTTCCAACTTCATTCCAGCGGCCGTTTATTGCGTTTTGAAA